CTAAGACTCATCTAAGTACACAAAGATAAAAGAAGTTAAAAATGTGTTCTTGTTAGAAAGGCGGTTTCCTGGAGTGTTTAATTAATATTTTGATTGATGGAGGGAACCATGTTGATTATGCTTGCAGAATCATCGTCATAAAAATGGTTCACAAACACATCCAAAGATGTTAATTCAATACAACCTAACAATTGATTTTATCATGATTAAAATACAGTCAAGGATAAAAAACTGGAGACTTGTATTTATTTGTTTTCCATAACTAAGTATAAAGATTAAGAGTTGACTTAAAACATACACAGAACATTAATAACTGATTGTTTATGCCTATAGAGTGGTACTAATTTACAAACTTTAGATTAAAAATCAAGAAAATCAGTTCATTTTCATCCTTTCCAGAGCCAACTTGTCGAGTGAGTTGATTGGTTTTTAAAACTGTTTTCTTTGATGAAACAATAAATTTTTAGTAAAAATTATTAATTTTTTTAAACTTAAAAGCGAGGTTTTAGCTTCTGTTACATAGCCCAAATCCTGGGCGTGCCGAAATCTACCATCCACGGTGGTCTACAGCGGTTTAAGGTCACCGGAAGTATCGATCAAAAGAAGGTAGTGGTCGACCGCGATGTAACGGCCAGGGATGATCGTTTTATTGCTCTCACCGCATTACAAAACCGTCATTTAACGGCTTCCTTACTAGTCAACTCAAACGGTCCGTAATGTAAGGGGAAGCTCTGAAACAGCCATCAGAAGGCAGAAAGTGAGTCTCTCATCAGGTTCTTTACTACTGGATAGGCATCGGGAAGAAAGGCGACTATTCGCAAATTAGCATCTCGATTGGAAGCTTGAAAAATGGAGGGTGGTTCTCTTCACAGATAAGTACCGGTTTCGTTTGTGGCATCAGATGACGGGGACCGTGTGGGAAGAGGACGTGGAGAACGCTTTGCTTTATGTGCCATTTGTTATTGTTTTCAAAGACAGTCAGTTGTAGTATGAGATGCAATCAACTCCCATAGCCGAACCGAACTGATTATTATTGAGAATTTGACTACACTAAGGTACGTTGAGGACGTTTGTCTGGAAGCTGTGGTCCCATTCCCTCCGTTTATTGGGGGACAACTTCGAGTGCATGATAACGCTCGGCTGCATGTAGCTCGAGTTGTCACCCATTACATGGAGCATCTAGGGATTACCACAATGAATTGGCAAGCATGTTCTCCTGAGATGAATGCCATATAACATTTATGGGACATGATAAAGACATCGTTAGACATCGTTCGCCGCCTCTAACAAGTGTTGAAAAGTTTCAAACCTCTCTTATTAAAGAATGGGAATCTGTTTCATAAGACGAAATCCGGTCGCTTATTTACTATACTTTATTTCTCTTTGAGTGTATACAATATATATTTAGTACCAGGCTAATATGTAAATTGACTTTTTTGTGTTTTCTGAACAAAACGCGCCATTCTTCATTGTCATTCTATTTGTTCACTTTAAATGAAAATCGGTGAACCATCTCAAGATAGGAAGTTCACACAAGCTTCAAAGGGTTTTGGAAATGGTTTATGGCGGAAAGAGAAGAAAGGGGTTTTTCAAAGGAACGAATCTTAGACAATTCCATCCGTTATCTTGATTGTATAACCGCGCTAAAAAAGGAAAAGTATTGTTTGTTTTAGTATTTAAATAATGTTTTGCAAATTAAATAATTGTTTGCTTGCAAGTAGTTTTTAAACTATCATAGAAGTGATGGTTTTTTAAAAAATTATTTAAATTATGTTTAACAAATAAAATTATTTTTTGGTTGCAAACCGTTTTTAAACAATCACACGAGCGATTTAAAAAAAAAATAAATTTAAATAATGTTAAACAAATTAAATAATTTTTTGCTTGCAAATAGTTATTAACCTATCATACGAGCGGTGTTTTTTAAAATTTTTAAAATTATGTTTGACAATTTAAATTATTTTTTGCTTGTAAACATTTATTAACCTATCATATGAGCGGTTTTTTAAAATTTATTTAAATAATGTTTAACAAATTAAATTATTTTTGGCTTGCAAATAGTTATTAACCTATCATAGAGCGGTTTTTTTAAATTTTTTAAAATAATATTAAACAAATTAAATAATTGTTTGCTTGTAAACATTTAATAACCTATCATACGAGGAGTGTTTTTAAAATTTATTTAAATAATGTTTAACAAATTAAATAATTTTTGGCTTGCAAATAGTTTTTAAACTATCGTAGGAGTGAATTTTTTAAATTTATTTAAATAATGTTTAACAAATTAAATAATTTTTTGCTTGCAAATAGTTTTTAAACTATCATAGGAGTGAATTTTTAAATTTATTTAAATAATGTTAAACAAATTAAATAATTTTTTCCTTGTAAACATTTATTAACCTATTATACGAGCAGGGTTTTTTAAATTTGTTTAAAATAATCTTTGACAAATTAAATTATTTTTTGCTTGCAAGTAGTTATTAAACTAACATACGAGCAGTTTTTTAAATTTTTTAAAAATAATGTTTGACAAATTAAATAATTTTTTGCTTGCAAATAGTTTTTAAACTATCATAGGAGTGAATCTTTAAATTTATTTAAATAATGTTAAACAAATTAAATAATTTTTTGTTTGTAAACATTTATTAACCTATTATACGAGCAGGGTTTTTTAAATTTGTTTAAAATAATCTTTGACAAATTAAATTATTTTTTGCTTGCAAACATTTATTAATCTATCATGAGCGGTTTTTAAAAATTTATTTAAATAATGTTTAACAAATTAAATTATTTTTTGCTTGCAAATAGTTTTTGAACTATCATAGGAGTGAATTTTTTAAATTTATTTAAATAATGTTTAACAAATTAAATAATTTTTTCCTTGCAAGTAGTTATTAACCTAACATACGAGCAGTTTTTTAAATTTTTTAAAAATAATGTTTGACAAATTAAATAATTTTTTGCTTGCAAATAGTTTTTCATCTATCATAGAAGTGATGGTTTTTTAAAAATTTATTTAAATTGTTTAAAAAATTAAATTATTTTTTGATTGCAAAAAGTTTTTAAACTATCACACGAGTGCTTTAAAAAAAATTAAATAATGTTAAACAAATTAAATAATTTTTTGCTTGCAAATAGTTTTTAAACTATCATAGAAGTGATGGTACCTATCATAAGGGCGGTGATTTTTAAATTTTTTAAAATAATGTTTGACAATTTAAATTATTTTTTGCTTGTAAACATTTATTAACCTATCATATGAGCGGTGTTTTTAAAATTTATTTAAATAATGTTTAATAAATTAAATTATTTTTGCTTGCAAATAGTTTTTGAACTATCATAGGAGTGAATTCTTTTAAATTTATTTAAATAATGTTAAACAAATTAAATATTTTTTTGCTTGTAAACATTTATTAACCTAACATACGAGCAGTTTTTTTAAATTTTTTTAAAATGTTTGACAAATTAAATTATTTTTTGCTTGCAAACATTTATTAACCTATCATATGAGCGGTGTTTTTAAAATTTATTTAAATAATGTTTAACAAATTAAATTATTTTTTGCTTGCAAATAAACTATCATAGGAGTGAATTTTTTAAAATTTATTTAAATAATGTTTAACAAATTAAATATTTTTTTGCTTGTAAACATTTATTAACCTATCATACGCAGTTTTTTTACAATTTTTTTAAAATGTTTGACAAAGTAAATTATTTTTTGCTTGCAAACATTTATTAACCTATCATATGAGCGGTTTTTAAAATTTATTTAAATAATGTTTAACAAATTAAATTATTTTTTGCTTGCAAATAGTTTTTAAACTATCACACGAGTGATGTAAAAAAAATTGTTTTAAATTATTTTTTGCTTGCAAATAGTTTTTAAACTATCTCACGAGCGATGTAAAAAAAATATTTTAAATAATGTTAAACAAATTAAATAATGTTTTGCTTGCAAATAGTTATTAACCTATCATACGAGCGGAGTTTTTAAATTTTTTAAAATAATCTTTAACAAATCAATTAATTTTTGCTAGCAAATAGTTTTTAAACTATCATACAAGTGGTGTTTTTTATTTTTTTAAATTTATTTAATAATGTGCTCGAACAGTTTTATTCATGTATATAAATATATGTATATAATTTTTAAACATATACTTTTCCTACGTGCAAACTGTTATAATCAAGATTAAAAAAAATATAATTCCATACAAAATTGAACAATATTTTTCTTTGCCAAGTTAAGGGTTGACAAAATCCTATATTACCCTCTGTAAGAAATGTCCTTTGATGATCAGAAATCAAATTAATGTATTTTTCCCTCTGCTCTTTTATTGAAAATATTACCAACCGAAGATATTTAAATTATATAAGGGTCTTAAAATTTTCTACCCTCCCACCGTATAAAGCACTTTCTTACGTTCATCACAAGTACCAAAAGGCCAACAAATTGGTACTAAATAAAAAATAAAAAAATGCTAAACCAGCCGATTGGAAATCTCTAATTTGACACCAGACACCAGAGTGAAAATATAAAATTTTCACCCTGGCTGTTTCGCTTTAACTATATTCTTGCATGTACTTAAAGACATTGGTTTCATTTTATTAGGAACGCAAAAGTTAATTTTTTTATAGCAAAAAACGTTAAATTTTGTATATCTGTTACTTTATGTTTCTTTTTCAGAGAAAATGTGCTCTACCAGTTTTTAAAAGTTCGTTTTAAGGACTTTGTATCATTGGGAAATGCTCATTCTATAATCTAATAAAATTGTTGGTCTAAGATTTTGTTTTTAACCTGCGGTGCAATGCTTTATTTTGGTACACACAGGTTTCCATAAACTACTCAAAATTTCTTAAATTGAGACATTTTGTTCAGAAAAATCTTAATAATTCGATTCAAAAGTTGGAAAACAGATATGGATAGATCAAGAATGCCTTTGATCATTTGTTAAACAAACATAATTAAACCTAAATAAAGATCAAACTAAATCGGTACGTACCTGCTATTCGCGAGACAACTCATTGTCGGTAGCAAGTTGTTCTTGCAGTATGCCCGTTAGGAATGCTCTTTTATTCAGCTTCTATTATGTAACATGAGGTACTCCCCATAAAACATGTCACTCCTGTCATACCCCCTCTTCGTAAACTCTATTGTTTATAGCTCTGGCTATATCTCTCTCTGTCTACATTGTATAAAATAGATTTTTCACGCCCTGTGAAAACAAGGCGGCCGACGGTTTTCCTTGATTAAACAAATAATAAGTTTACCGGCCCTTCTAGGAAAGGAGGGATATTACATAACTAGCTCCCTTGCGTGCAGCAAAATGAATTACAATGGTGTTTAGGTGGAATATCAATGAGAAATGGATACCAAACTCAAAATCAAATTGGAAACATTTTTTTAAGTAATAAATATAGTCAATTTTTAACTAGACACTTTTTAATGTGTTGAGACAGCCGAGTGTATTTTTCGTTATGAATCACTAACTTCTAGAAACTTTTAAGGTCACACGTCACATGACATGCTGAGAAAGGATAAAAAAAGAACGATCAAGATCGCTTATCACCAGTGAGATATTTTACTGAATTTAGAAGATCCCAGTTTATTACAATGTTAGGAAGCGAAACTATGTCAAAAGGTTCTAATTTCATTTTATCCTTTGTCAACCCGTGGAAAGGTAGTTCATGTATTATTCGGAGATCGTGAGATGCGGTCTGGTGTGACGTAGTTTTAGAAAAACATTTTCTTTATCGTGCCAACGTTTCGATCTTTATTGACGGGGGGGGAAGGAAGTATATCTTTACACCCCTTCAAAATCCAACGCATACATAAAACAGCAATATCTCACTGGCACTCTCAACACGACACACAAGAATAGCACAATTACGCAGAAAACAAACACTTTGATTTTTTTGCATTGTATAAATTCACTTTTTTCCACATCCTACATGATTTTATTAAATTTAAACAATGTTTGTAAACCCCAGGCACTGAAGATGATCTCAATAAAGATCGAAACGTTGGCACGAAAAAGAATTGTTTTTTCTAAAACCTACGTCACACCAGACCACAACTCACGATCTCCGAATAATCACCGATTAACGGTCACTAATCACCACACACGTTGTTCATGTAGCTGCTCATGTGATGTGTTCAATTTGCTGTACTTAAGTTAGCTGTGGGCTGGTAACATTATTGTGAAAAAAAAATCAAAAATTCATATACTTAGCTAGAACGTGAAGGAATATCCAACATAAGCCACAAGAAGAAAAATTGGAAAGTAACCGAAAAACCGCCAAATTGAGGAGGAAAATGTTAACAAAATAGTAAACACTTACAATAGCAAAGCTTGTTGATACAATTAATTAAGGTTTTTAGTTGAGATAAAAAAGTCAATGGCACGTGCGGGATTAGAACCCACGACCTTAGGCTAATACACCACTGCTCTACCACTTGAGCTATGGTGAGGGTGGGGTTGAGATAGGAGTTGGAGTCCAAGTTGGTCCGAGTGGATCGAATAGCTCAACTGGTAGAGCAGCGGCGTATCTAGCCGAAGATCGTGGGTTCGAATCCCACTCGTGCCATTGACTTTTTTATCTCAACTAAAAACCTTAATTAAATGTACTATATTAATTGGTCAAGCGGACCACGAAATTAGTGAATTTAACTTGTTGATACAGTAAAAATACTACAAGGTTTAAACTCAAGCTCGAGAAAACTACTTGGGTGCTGTGTGTGGAAAAGAACGAGTTATAGAAGTACACGTGACCTGATGGTTCCATAAACCTTACACTAGGATATTACGTCATGTTAACATCATTCTGAGGAAAGTTATTTAAATTAATAGAATAACCACAATTTCAGGTTGGAATCCAATTGTGGTGGTCTGGGACCGAGTTCAACTATAAAAATAACTGGGTCTGGACGTAACTGTAAACATGAACTGAAATCTCCTCCAAAACTGGTAAGTATATATAGAAACAGCCTAGCATTAGCCTATATACTACATACATGGTCTAGGGCAAAGGTGGTGTTCATACCGAAAATAGGGTAAAGTGACCCGACACTATCCAAATCCTACAGATTAATCAGCCTAACATCCTTTCTATTGAAAGCACTTGAAAAGCTGATAGACAACCATATAAGAATGACAACGCTGATAAATAAATCACTACGTAACTGTCAACATGCATACAGAACAGGAAAATCAGCAGAAACTACTCTGTACCAGCTAACTAGTGACCTGAGCGAAACACTACAAGTAAAGGAAATAGCAATCTGCGGGTCCCTCGATATTGAAGGAGCTTTTGATAATTCTCTCCGGAATCTCATGCATCCATGTAGGTCTCTCTAGAGAAAAAACATGTACATCAGACCACATCTAGATGGATTGGAAAATGTTAAGAACCAGAAAATAACATGTATATTCATTAAAATAAAGAAACTAACAGGTATTTGTAACTCCAGACAACATGGAAACCTGTATACTAATTTTTACAAATGAAATAAACGAATTTATTATGCATAGTAACTTCAGTTTTGACAATGTGTTTGAATAAATCTTAGGGTATAACAAGAGTAAAGAAATATAAATAATACATCTTCGGCAAAATAAAATATACGATTTTTTTTTGTACTTTAGAAACAGACACCTTCGTTATAGAGTGGACGCCAGGAAGGAAGAACAATTAATTATCCATATCAAACCGATCCTTACCAAAATTTTTCGTCGTGATGATGAAACATTGTTCTGTTTGGCGGTAGAATTTCATGGTAGTTCAAATTTTTCGAAGCTGAATCCTTGAAAAGGTGAAGCTAATCTGGCTAGTATTCTTCTTGTATAAAATGCGAGATCAAATGCCATATTTAAACTATCAATCTGAGAGGGTTCAATTGACTTGAAATAGGTAACTTAAAACGAAGGATATGAATGAACCCCTAATGGGATTGAAGGATCTCTAGGTACAAAGAGACCAGATTTAGAAAATAATATTCTGCTCGCAATAAAACCATAATTATGGATACAAATCTATAGTTTTAGCCATGCCAGGTATTTGAACTTTAACGAGAATTTCGCTTTCTTTTCACTAATCGATAAATTCATCAATTAAAATTAAAGTTATTCAGATATCGTGAGATGCGGTCGGGTGTGATGTAGGTTTCAGAAAAACATTTTCTTTATCGNGAAAATGTTTTTCTGAAACCTACATCACACCCGACCGCATCTCACGATATCTGAATAACTATCGATTAACGGTCACTAATCTCTACAAATAAATTATTTTATGTTTTTGTTATGCAGGCCTTAGTGTGGATGTAAATCCTATTCAATTCCGAACGTTTTCCCTTTATATGCCGAGGAAAAAAAATTCTTCCTGTCCACCAAAGGTCATCTTTCTTAAACCTCAGAACACAGATGTTCCAAATACAGAATCGTCAAACTTTTTTCCCCAATAGGGTTTTGGAATCAATAGAACGTGTTGACGTCAGTCCACAACCGCATGTAACATTGTATGAAATTGAATGTTAAAGAAGATTTTCAGCCGACGTTCATCTTGCTGAGAGGTGAGCTCGTTTGGAACATCGGGCCTTTTTTACTTTCAATCAGTTCCTAAGTGGTGATTTAGCTCCATATCGTGAAATAACATACGATCGATGTTTTATAGGAATGGTTGCAATAGCGCCTCATAGACTCCCCTAATACATATCTGGTTATTGCAAATTTTCCAAGTGTGACACTGAACGACTTGTCTCTCTCTGCAAGTGGGTATGGCCTATCCTCAAGGGTATCAAGTATTCGTAGAAATGATTTATTTGTCGACGCTTCGAAATTGTTGGAGTTTATGTATGAAGAATATGTGTAGCAACTAACAATAGTTGCGAATAAACATAAAAGAATTTTCTATTCTGGTTTCAATTGCTGCTGAACGATTCACATAAATTATAATTAAGCTGTGATATCTTCTGTGCGCTTAATTTCTATAAATATAAAATTAAGCTTAAGAATGTTAAATCATGTTTAATTGTACATAAAACATCAGAGAGAAAGAAAGGAAAACATTCAGTTCCTTTGCCTCCTTCAGTGCCTTTTCCTCTTTGCTTTGGAGGTCACTTCATCAGAACAGTTGCATTTTTATACATGGTGTCCCTTCATAGACTTCAGTACTTCAGGAGGTTTTCCTACTTCTCCGATTGCACTAAAAAGTCCAAAGTCTGATTCTTAATTACATTCGTGATATTTCATATTTCATGTTACTTCGACTTCTGACAACTTTATTTCATGAAGTACAACGCAGCTTGTTAAATATTATTCCTACTGGAAAATCTGACCATGAAAATTTTTAAAAATTAGAATTCAAACATAAACAATGTTTTACAATTTCATTCTTGTGATAGAGGAGAGGAAAAAAATTGAGGGTGCCCGTGAAAAGACGTTTTACTTCAGATTATCCTACATATCAAATTGGACTGAAAAGTCTCTATTGTCCAAAGTCTGATTCTCAGTAGTATTCAAGATATTTCACTTTCGAAGTTACTTCAACCTTTCACAGCTTTTTCCCTTAAAGCCCCTGTATCTCATAAAATATTAATCCTACTCCAAATATGATTACATAAATAGAAAGATTATTAAAAACGCTATGAAGTTCATTTTTTTTAATGTAACCAAACAAAATACAATTCTAACCAAAGAAGGTTGAGAGAGATGTTCAATTAGTACCACTTTAAGATCAGATTTGCACGAAAAAAAGGAAAAAAAGGGAGGACGAAAAAAAGGAAAAATGGGAGGACGAAAAAAAGGAAAAAAGGGAGGTTAGTGTATTTGTAGATGTTGAATACTGTTTTTTTAAAATTATTTTTTATTTATTTGTGGTTTATACATATTGCAAATGTGCTCACGGTACATTTTTTCACGCGGTCAAAGAACTGACATTTATGCCAGCGCTGCTCCTGGAGGACACTCGCCATGAGAAATCAGCCAATGCTGAGTGTGTGAGATTAAGGTGCAACGAGGTCTCGAGATCATCGACGATTGAGGCGACGTTGAGGGTTTTTGGGATGGGAATGTGTAGAGAGGGCTCGAGCAGTAGGGTTAGAATGGATCGAGGGGTTGATATGAAACTTTTGGGATCGGAAACGGATCAGTTCTTTGACAAAAGGAATGTTGAGGTCGTGGTGGATAGTGAGGTTAATGACGTAATAAGGATGACGATTTGTCTGAGGACTTTTGATTGGAAGGATTGGATGCGCTGGATGTTGGATGATTTGGCAGAATCCGCACAGTTCCACTCCGTGTGTCCAAAGTGGTTGCAGAAAAGTCTTGTATAAGGTTAGTTTACACGACGGACTCTTAAGACATGAGGGGGGATTTCACGTCAGTCTGGTGTCTAGGCATGGTCTGTGGTATTTGACTTGAAAGGAAGTAGGTATATCTTTGTCGTTGATAGACCGTGGAGTGCAAGTCTGTTTATTTTTTTAATCTGAACGTACACTGAGTACATTTTTCTTCCTTCAGTCTTGTTCTCCACTTTTGCATCAGTCTTCGATAAACTCAATTTGTTCTTGAATGTTGGAAGGATTCGAGTTAGAGATGAAAATTACGTCCGTGGTGATGATGGTATCGGACGGGATGTGCAGGTTGGTCTGCAGCACAGACTAGGATGGGACCAAGAATGCTCCCTTGTGGGATACCGGCTTGTAGGCTCATAATAAATTCACTATGGTTAAAGCCATAAGTTTTAATATATATATATATATAAATTATTAGAAATAATTTCAAAATCCTGATGAAGGGGGATTGTCAAGAGCTGTAGAATGAATTGAGTGTTTTTCTTTCCTTCAAATTTCGCCTTAACCCTGATTTTTTTGTACAATTATGATATGAATGAAATCAATCATACCTATATGCTTATGGAGACATTAGATTTTTCTAAATATGGAAGGCTGACATCTGTTGACAACACATCTGAATCAAGGAAGAATAGGGAAAAAAAATACCGTTAAAAAGAAGTTTTTATTTAAAATTGGACATAGTATCTAACAAAAGAGTATAACTTTTAAAATAAATGATTGTTATATAGAAGAAAATTCAACAATTTACTATAACATCAAATTATTTGAGATTTTATGAACAACACTAAAATAAACAATCTGAAATATTACAGATTTACATATATATATAACTTAATTTGAGAATAATGATAAATACTCTGTCTTTGGCTAAATTTGGTACAGAATAGAATATTCAAGATGCTAGAGTGAGGCCCAGCCGAGCAAGAGACATCTCCTTTCTTAAGCGTACGATCTCCCAGTAAATATCGTGTACTGAAACAAAACAGAAGATTGGAAAATTGGTTAAAAAAATTAAAGGAATAAATACAATTTCTGAGTTGAAAATGTGACGCTGAATTTCATTACTTTCTATGCCGGAGGTTTAAACATTTAAAAAATTTTTCTCGCGTTTTAAAGGTCCTAAAAATGTTTTAACTGCTATAGGCAAACCATGGCTTGTGGACAAAATAAGAAAAATAATTATACCAAGAAGACTTGGAATAGGCCATACTCGTCTCACACAGACCATCTTCTGGCAGGGCAACACAACAGTGGCCCCAATCGGTGGCTGTCCGTCACCTACTAGTGGTGTACTACCCTCAGACAAAAAAAAAGTTCTAATGCATTGCATTGTTTATAAGGAAAACGTATTTGAATATCTGAGAGTGGTGAATGCATATAACCTAATTTAATCTGCCTCTTCGCATATTTCACGTCTTATAATGCGAGCGTATGTATTTATTAGCGAAAATGTTGATTTAAAGAATTGAATGAACAAGCCACTCGACGAAGTATCCAAATACCATGACAGTCTGCCACCTAGGGATGGCAATCTGTAATATATATATCGGCTTCACTGATATATCGTGGAAAATATATCGATATATGGATATATTTAATTTTAGGTACATTACGACTATTTTATAACATCCATATGAGCTAGCCCAACTGGAAGAAAACAACGATATTAGTAACGGTAAAAATATACTCATGGTCATGTTATATAATTATTATTAAGTAGTAATAAAAAGATATAAAATAAAATAGATTTTGGTTATAAAAATTAAGGTTTTTAAGCCTTTCGAGCATGTTTTACAAGTTGCCACTTGTTTTCCTTTTTCTGGTGCATTAAACTATTTCCAATCAACACATTTTTGGCATTTTCCCGGAGAAGGTGCCGTCATAAAAACGTATTTGAAAATTGTGCGCAGAAACGTAGATACAGATGCCGATGCTGACAGGTAAGTTAGGTTTACCCACGGACAACGGTTTAGATACAATTAAAGTTGTATAGATATATCGATGTCTCATACCAGACAGCAGTCTCTAATCCATTTTGACGCACTGACAAGGATATTTTTTAAAATTATTTATCCAATAATGAAGAAGAAAAATGTATAGTCAAGTTTTTGTAAATGAATTTTTTTCGTAAATAAAAAATGAGTATATAGATACATTACAATTAATTAAGGTTTTTAGTTGAGATAAAAAAGTCAATGGCACGAGCGGGATTCGAACCCACGATCTTCGGCTAGATACGCCGCTACTCTACCACTTGAGCTATCGTGACCTCGATCCACTCGGACACCAACTGCCTATCTCAACCCCACCTTTTGAGTTTTCCCTCCTTTTTGCCATTTTTCNCAAAAAGGAGGGAAAACTCAAAAGGTGGGGTTGAGATAGGAAGTTGGTGTCCGAGTGGATCGAGGTCACGATAGCTCAAGTGGTAGAGCAGCGGCGTATCTAGGCGAAGATCGTGGGTTCGAATCCCGCTCGTGCGATTAGCTTTTTTCATCTCAACTAAAAACCTTAATTGGTTGTAATAACGTTGAATTTGAACAAAATTTGGAGGAGTTATAATTTTTTAAATGGGTAAAAAATTGCTATTCTACCCCAAAAATGTTCGTTTTTTCATTGCGATGAAATTTCGTATTTAATGGAAACGCATTGTTTTGGCCTACTTTACTGAATGTGCCTTTTCGTTTTTATAACTTTTTAGATTTTTAATCCCATTTAATACGATGGTCCATATTATTTCCTTATCGTAGGTAAAACAAAAAATCAACTGATTTATAAAAAAAAAACTTGAAATACACGCAAGTTAGAGAATAATATTTTAAAAATTATTTAAATTAATTTTTAAAAAAATTTCTGATCAAATGGACTATTGGCAAGAACGCTATGACATGTGTTTCATATTTTTAGACCTATTATCACCAAAAAATTTTAGGTAAAATCGGAGATTCCAGGTCCTTATATATATATTACGCAGGGCGGGCGACCAGGACCCGAGGGGTGAAAAGCCTGGGTAGGCCCGTACCCCATGCCTAAAAGGTCCGGGACCTGGTCGGCTCACGAGTCCTGCATAAACCTTTTGGACCTATTCACAAACCCTAGGATTGTGGACCATTTTATCCTGGGGAGTGTTTTGGTTCTGTCCTCTCCTTCGAAAGTATCAAATCTTTCCCTAGCATACCTATCGCATTCTGCAAGGTAGTGTCGAGCCGTTTCTTCTTTTGTTTCGCAGAAGCGGCAGAAGGGGCCTGGTAGAGTACCCATTATGATGAGGTGTCTTCTCAAGGGGCAATGGCCCGTTAGGATACCTATCAGCCTCCTTATTCCCCTCCTAGAGTTAGAGAGTAACCATTTCGCTTCTTTAGGTTTGATTTCCTTCAGAAACTCCTTCGATTGCCTGCATCCGGGGGACATATTCCATTCCTTAAGGAATTGTTTCATGCCCCAGCTACTTATATTCTCTTTTGTTGTGCTTAAAGAGTGGGGTAATACCGGTTGTGGCCCGTCAAACGCAGTATTTGATCCTTCCTTGGCCAGGCTGTCCGCCTCCCCCCCTAGGGCCCCTTATGAGCAGGTATCCATATGAGGGTTACCCTATTCTCATACCTGATGATAGTCCTATTAATGAGTTCAACGGTTTCCTCTACCAGTCTAGATGTTGATAGTTCTTTTTGTAATGATTTCAGACTGGCCTGACTGTCGGAAAAATTTTAATATCTTTTCCCTTAATCTTGTTATCCATAAGTGTTCTGCAGCAAACATTGATGGCCCAGACCTCTGCCTGAAAGACCGAGGTGTTATTACTAAGAGGGGAGGAGATGCTGATCCCTAATTTAGGTATGTGTATTCCAGCACCGCTTCCCTTATCTTTAATGGGTGAGCCATTGGTGAAGCAGTCTAGGCTACGATGGTCATCATCAGACCTATAGTTATAGTCACAGGGAGTAACTACCTGAAAGTACTTTTTCCCTAAAGGTGTTTTCACCTTTTTATCGCTTACACCCAGTAGTTGGTTGATGACCTTACTCAATAAATGTAAAATTTTCGAGTGTCCTATATTATTTCCCTTGTGGTTCCAGCTGCCTTCACTAATTAATCTATAGCAGCTGGTTAGTGCTTTAACCTTGACCTCAATGTGTAGAGTTGTAGTGTTAGTTATCACTTCCAAATCTAGGGTTGGTGTAGTGGGAAATGCTCCCGTCATCATCATACAACCTAGTCTTTGGAATGACCTTAGCTTGTTAATGGCTCCTTTGTTTTCTAGCCCTTTCCACCAAACTAGGGCTGCAAATAGAAATCTTGGTAGTATGATCGCGGTGTATATCCATTTGGCCACCCATGGTTTAATACCCCATGTTCTACCAACGCTTCGGCGGTACATATACTAAAATTGGAACGATACAGAGAAGATTCCAGGTCCTAGTAATTAACAGTTTAAAGCCGAAGCCTAAAAACTTTCATATGCAACTCTCCATAAATTCCCACCCCGAAATCGATACTTGTTTTATTTTATTTTATTATTTTTTTAAATGTAAATAAAGACTACTTTTTATGAAAGTGTGTATCTGGTTATCTCCGTCTGTGGAATAGAATGGATCAAGATAAAAAATAAATTGTAATAACAACCTACATAATAAAATAACAACAACAATATTATCAATAAAAGATAATATAGTTTTGTTTATGAATTACCACGGATAAAGAATGCGCAGGTTATACGAACGATCCAGAAAACAACAACGTAATTAGGTAACATGCAACTCTCTTCGCCAAAAAGAAAGAAATAACAAGCCATTTTTTCTGGTAAAAATGATTTATGTATCTGTGTTATCAGAAGCAAACAAGATCTAAAAGCTACATGCTAGGGAATCGCTCGAGTAATGTTGAAAATATAATTTCAAAACTACTTTCCTTACTTGATTATATGAAAATACAAGTGTTTTTAGCTTTTTATTTACGAAAACGAGCTTATATATTAGTTTACATCAATGCATCTTATTATTCAACATCACCGTTCTTCCTCAACCCTTAGCGCCCTTTAGCGCTAGAAAAAATGGAAAAATAATACAGAACGATTTACAGTGGAAAACGAAACTTTTAGTGAAGTACGGGTATGCCAATTCATAAACTTCTCCCTTTGTCCAGATCAAATCCCAATAGGTTGTGCAAATAATTTTGAAGGTTTCTGTATGCGGTGAAATATATGCCGGGAATTGCTGTCAGTAAAAGTGGAGAGAATTATTTCTGAAAGATAAAAGCCCATTTGGCGTTTCAATCGACGGGGAGGATTATCTGGGATCATAATGGAACTGAGCTGATGGATCAAGGGAATGGAATATGTGAAAAGGGATTGATGGAGTTTTTTTGTAATAAGTTTTCTCTACTTCTGGAAGAAAGGGAACATTAAGGTCTCGGTGTAGAGTGACGTTTGAAACATAAAAAGGAGGGTTAACAATTTTTCATAGGACTTTTGAATGGCATCTTTGAATTCGTTGGTACTTGGAAGGCTTAATCGACTCCCAGAGTTCGATAACGTAAGTCAGCATAGGTCTGATAATGGTGTTTATCAATCTTTTATAGCTAAGTGGAAGTTTGGATCGTCTGTCGAGTAGCGGTAATGACAGTTTGTTACGTATGTTTAGTTCCTACGTGTTCCTATAAGTTTTAGTCTTATGTGAGTATTCCAAGTTGTTTGTCCAGATGAAGTCCCAAGAAACTTACATGTTCGACTGAGTGTAGTGAAATCCCGTTAGGAAACAGACAGAGAAAGCCCATTTGTATGTCAGTTTCGAATGAATACGGAATTTTGTAAATTATGGACAAAGATCAGGTGCGAAGATATTTTCGGGAAAAAAAGATTTGATTTGCCAACTGTCATTCTCATAGTTAATATGAGTAATTAAGATGTTTCCCAGTTTTTCATTTTTTATCTTCAACCCCAGATATCTTAACTTGTCTTGTCCATACAACTTGGCACT